TTCAGTGCCATGGAAAGGGGAAAGTGGTCAACTGAAGCTGTCTCATCCTGGATGCCTACAACCCGCGCATTCGAGCAAAAAGCTGCTATTGAAAATATAAGCCACAGCATAACCACAAATAAAATCCAGATCTCTGATCCTGAAATTCCTCCTGGAGCAAGTAACTGGAGTTTTTCAGCTAGAAAGCAAGCAGCCAGAAACAGCCCACCAGGACCAGTGAAATAACAGCAGACAGCACCAGCAGCTTCCTCCGCAGCCCCTCCACCTCTCTGGGAGACAGCCACCCAGAGACTAACTTCCCTGCCAGCACAGGTCACCCTGCATCACCCTGCTTTCGTGTGCCTACTTTAAATTACTCCCAAGCTGCCCTTTACTAATAAATCAACCAAACAAAATCAGCTGGGTGGAGAGGAGATCTAAAAGAAATTTATCCAAATATTTGAAGGGATATGCAAACTATGAATGCCAGAAGGAAGTGCTGAAAAGCCTTGAGGCTCTCAATGTAGAAGACTCCAACTGAGCAATGTCATCAAGTATCACAGGTCTCTGCTAATACGAGCAGTGTCAGGCCAGGTCTTTCCCATAAAGTAAATCATGGGAATCTGTGCTATATGCAAAGAGCCTGACACATACTGAAGTTCTTTAGTCTTTGTCAGCTGCCACAAGATTTTGTAAGTTTAATGTTTGTAAAAGGTATTTCACTCCAGCCAGCGGAAAAGCTCTAATTGCAAAGTGTTGATGCCGTAGTTCTTGAGATGCGCTTGCTAACCTGTTCTGTAATTGCTTCAAGGCGTTTTATACATAGGTTTCAGCTTTTTGGCCTTCAGTTTCTATTTTACGTAGTCTGGAAACGGCAGGTTTGCCTTTGGAGCATATTGTAGGCTATGTAGACTGGACTGGCTGTTGCAAAGCAGGCGTATCCCAGCTCTTTCATGCCCTCATTTCTTACTGTGTTTCTTCAGTGTGTGGTTCCCCCCCCCGCACCCCGCTCTGATTTCATCTAGTTGCAGTAAGGTGTCCATGCTGTGAGTTAATGTTTTGTGTGTGAACTTCATAATCTAGATTTTTCTGCAGTAGCTTCCCTGAATAGTCTAGTTTTTAGGTTGCTGTGATTCATGCTGGTAGTTTAGCTAATCTGAGTTTGGTTTAGCACCTCACCTTTTTTTGATGGCAACATCAGGGCTTGGTGAGAAGACAGCTTTTGTTTAAGTGTTGTTCAGAGCAGAAGCGTGTCAGGCTTGCTAGGTGCTTGCCCAGCTGCTGTTTGGAGAGTGAGTAACGCTGGAATCGGCAAGTTTTTTCTTGGCTGTGGTTGTGTTTTGTGGTAGCCAGGTGACACAGGAGATCGTTTTTATTTTATTATTTAGCAATAAGACGGTGACAGAGTAGCTAGTTTGCTGTTAAAGCTTCTGAGAGATTGTGCCCTGCATTACATGAATGCAGTGTAGTGACTACTGGGATCCTCAGAACAGCTCTCCTCTTCTGCACCTATTTGTTGAGGAAATCTTTAGAGGAGGAAGGCCAAGGTATAATGAAGTTTTAAAATTTCCCTGCAAATAGTGCATATCAAAAAAAGACAAACAAGTTTAGACGCCGATAGTGTGAAATCGGAGGAACTGCCCCGTTAGCTTTGGTGGTCTTATCTTGGTTTGTGTGCTCTGGTATTTATTCTGCTGGCATTAATTCCGACATGAGTCAGTCTTAAAATAAGAGAAAGCAGTTTCCCCTTGGGTGAAGGAACTTACCTAATTGTGCAGGCATGGCTTAATTATTCAAGTTTGTCTCATATAGCCAACCCTGTAGATCTGCATGTAGTGCTTGGAGTGTTTTTCCTTGCTATCTTGCTATAACTTCTGCAGACACCTTCAAAGTCATTTATGTAACTATCGCTAGTCTGATGAACAAATGATTGTAGTAATGTTTTGAGTATTGTAGTAATGTTTTGAGTAGTCTTAACCTGCTTAAGCTTTTATTTCAGAGTTTATAGTGATTTCCTTCTATGTAACTTTTCAAAAAACCAACCTATCAGTGACTTGTTTTTGCTCTTACTGGAGATAATAATTAATAGCTTTATACTATTGCTTTATACTATTATTTCTACAGTTTCCTAGCAATGATCCTAAACAGTTACTTAAAGTAGCAATTGTCCCTTGAGTCAAGCATCAGGCTACTCATTTTGCATTCTGAAATCAGTCCTTACTTTGAAGATGGGAATTTTTTGTATTCATTGAGAGGACTTTTATAGATAATTAGCGTAAACCATTTCTGGCCCTTTCAGAAATATGAATTAATACCATAGAGACATATATGTGATACAAGAAATGAGTTTTTTCCTGCAGTAGGGGGTGATGATGGTGTAGTTCTCTTCCCCTTTGAGTTCTTTTCCCCCCCCCTTACTTCTTAAAGCATTATATTCTAGTATAACATCTCTAAGTGAATTGAATGCAAGTTCCTTTTATTTTTAATACAGCCTCGAGAAATGATTTGGTTTGTCTTCAGTCAGTTGCATCTCTGGTTGGGGAAAAGACCCTCTCTAGTGTTAGTGTTGTCGGCATGCAGACCTTGTTACGTAACAGAACGTTGCCAGTACCGAGCAGATTTCAAGGATTAGCTTTCATTTATGTGCCTGAACTATTTTTTATCTATATTTGAGAATGCAGATCAAGGGGGGGAAACTATCTAATCCTAATTGAAAATTTCATTAGAATATTTATCTAGCTGTATTTTCTTATAAATACTTGAAATAGCTTAGTTTGTAGGTGGATAGTATTGTAATGCAAATACTCTGTTGAAGAGTCACCCAAGTAATTTGTCAGTCTCTTTATTTCCATAGGTTTCTCGCTTTGAGTACTTCTTGTCTTGAACTCTGGCTTTGAGACTGACAATTTGATCTTCTAACCTCGTTTTAGACGTCTTCTGTCAAAATTCCCTTTGACTTCCCACACCTCCCGTATCACCTTCCCAGGCTGATTAAAGAAAAATACAGCTGTTCAGAGAGTCGGATTTGGAAAGCGTCGGTTGCAGAAAGTACTGAACTAGTTTTGACCGACGTTAATCTCTTTGATCTATTAATGAGATTTTGTGGAACATCACTTTTTTGGAATAGTAAGTTTTGAAATTATGGCAATTGGAGCTGCTGCCGCTAATCGATGTTTTGATCCATGTCATGCAGTGTTCTAGTGCTACTTTGCTTCCCGTCAGCTAGTGGAAATACTCAAGTAAACCTTTACATGATGGATCAAAAGTAAGTGGGAATTGTGCCTGATTATGTCAGAGCTAAATCTGGTCCCATGTCTTTTTCCATTACATCATGATGCACAAATATCTTTGTGCACCTTGGTATCTTTGCCTGCAGAAGCCATAACGCCATTTCTCTCTTTACAGACCCTGTAAGCTATGAGAGACACAGAGTTTTCTTGTTTGTAAATAGCGTGTGCTTGTCATTTAATGGAAACTTCAAAGCTGCTCTGGATGACCCCAAAGAACATCTAACATCAGTTAACCTGCTAGTTTCCTCAGTTTTGTTCTCTTGAGAAGTGAGTGGTGACTCTTCTGGCATTCACAAAAAACTTTCTGTGCGTGGGAAATAATAAGTTCAGTC